TTAGCTTACGGAGCTTCTCGGACTTTCTGACCTTCAAAGGTCCAGCTTTGCCCTGTCGCTTGAAATGTAGCAGCTCCTGGTAAAAACCGTTGGCGTGCTCTAGAAGTTTATCTAGCACTCGCCACTGGATATCTTTCCCATTTAAGGGGATCCGAAATTCAGGACTGAATTCTTTAAAGTTCTCGTTCGTGAGATCGTCTGCTAGCTGGTTAGCATCTCTCCTGATCCACGTCAGGCCTAGCTCGCAAGACTTGAACGCCAGCTCTTCGGCTAGCTCAAGAAGTATTAGCGTTGACGGAAATTCGGTAGTCATCGCTTTCTTGACAAGGGCTTCTCGTAAGTGTCAAGCACGCTTACCCCTAGGCGAGGCAAACGCGCGTCCGGTTCTGTCACGAGGTCGGTAGCGGAGCTGCCAAATCTTTACACATCTGTACATGTGTAGTTTGAAGCTCCAACTCTATACAATGGTGAGGGGAATCCTGGTAGCTGGGAAGTCCAACAGGACAAGCCCCCACTCTTGTGACAAGTGAGTAGCAACTCAAAACTCCTGAGGAGACACTGAAACAGCCAGTCATGCCTAAAAACAACAACTGGTCTTCGTGACAAGGAAGCACCAAAGGCTTCAAATGGCAACAAGGCAACATCAACTGTACAAGAATAGGGAGCCCTGGCACATGACCAAAAGAGCAGGCCTATCCAAACCACAAATTGCAAAGCGAAGCGAGGCGCATCGCAAAGCAAGCATTAACCAACTTGGGGAACTACTCAACCCTAGAAACACACCAAGGGGACGAGTACGTACACAGTAGAAACTGTACACCAAGACTGTCCCCGTGCAGCAGCGCAGCGCGGTTGTAGTAGTGCAGGAGGACGTGCCCCAGCAGCCCAGGCCCACGCTCAGCAGATTGGACAGCAATGTTCAAGTCCACAGAAACAGCCTCAGACCAGAAGCCTCGAAGCAGAAGAAGTGGTGAACCCATCCGGAAACGCAGCTGCCCAGACGCGCAGCTTAGAGGGGGTAGCCATTGGACAGCCAACCCCTCATCGGCCCCAGGGCAAGGTCACCGGACTTAGCTGTCGTGCCCCAGTGTTCCACGATCACCAGCAGCAGCAGTCGTCGGCCCATCATCGCCACAGCAGCCCGAGGAGCAGCAGCGTAGAGCCAGCGACGAAGCAGCGTCACCTCAAAGTGTACACAAGCAGGCATTTATCGTGCCTGGCGGCATCACCACAAGCTATACCCCCTTAGGAGGCGCGAAACCTCAGGAGACCGACTCAAGGGCAGAGTCTGTAGACTCACCTTGACATCAGCAAGTGATGCCACACGTGAACAGGGCCTCCCAAGGTGGGAGTACGCAGCTTATTCAGAAGCATTATCTTGATTCAACAGGTGTCAGTGCTGACATGGCATCAGCTCATTCAACCATGAGATGGGTTACCCTAGCAGACCCACAGTGCAATCGACACTACTCACCAGAGACAGTGAGTCCGCAAGGCAAGCAAAAGTGGCTCAGCAAAGGGTCGAAAGGGGATTCCTAATCCAAGGCCAAACCCTAAAGGGACAGGCGCAGGAAACCCTAAAGGTGTCTAGGCCAAGGATCACTAGGGCGAAAAGGTGGTACACGAATAAGGCTCTATGCTGGACTCAACCCAAAAGGAGAGTAGCCCGTAAGGTGCATGTTGCGCACCCCATGCAATGTGCGTGCGTCCAAGGTTGCTGCAGGAAGGGCAGATCACCCTGGATGTCAGAGCCAGCGGCGACGATTGGCAAAGACATCAGGTACACAAAAGGTTCAGTTGCGGGAAAACCATAAGGTTAGGGACTAAGCCTATCCAAATCAAGAACCCAGCCAGATGCAGTAAGTTCAGCCAATCAAGTTGAAACAGAGGGGGAAAATCCAACAGCGCAATGAAAAGCGATCCCACTTGCGCAGTTGGACAAAGTCCTAGGAATGCAAGGGCAGAAGCAATGAAAATTCAAGGGAGAGCAGTCTCACCCCTGCGAGTTCCGAATTGCATGAGGTGTTGATGCAGCTGGCGCGCAGCTCCGGCCGCAAGTTGAACAGCTTGATATTCCCATTTGGCACATCTGGCTTGAAGGATGGCCCATCGGGCCCGAAGGGAACCTGCTAATCTGCGTTCAGCTGATTGTTTTGCCGCAACATCAGCTGCATCATTGAGGCTCCTGAGGTACAACGGTCAGCCTCAAGAGAAGGTTGCCAGTCAGGTCTCTTACCGTGCGACGGGATCCATTCAAGATGGACTTTGACGCCCAAGGACTCTGCCTCCTGGATGAAGCTGGCGAACCAGAAGCGATACATCGCCACATTGGCTTGACACGGCTCTGAGGGCCGAAAAGCAATCACAAACAACAGTGACTTCTCCTCTCGCTCCCCTCCGCGCAGCATCAGCAGTGGCACCAAGTGCAAAGAAAAGGCCCTGGAGTTCAGCCCTATACGCGGACTGATCCTCGAGTCCGCCCCCACCTGCAAAGGCAAATTGCACCTCATGAACGACCACTGCAAAAGCCGCCACATCCTGCTTTGATGATCCGTCGCACGCCAGGGCAATTCTTGAATGGCCCTTGAGCGCATCATGTATGGCCTCGGCAATGTCCACTCGAAGACCCTCGAGATCAACCCCTGGCGGGGGCGGCGGCTGCTCAGGGAGATGCATGGCCAGCAGACGCTCTTCACCTCGGTGAGCCGGAGCATTGATGCCTTGTCTGAGTTCACGAGTGGATTCACATGCCCATGTAACGCGGGGTCGGCTCGGCCTCCATCCACCACATTAATCGCACTTCCACCTTGCGCGCGCGGCGCCGAATTCACCTCTGTGAAATGCCAGGCGTGGCCGCCCGACACAAGCGCTGCTTTCCGAGTGTATTCGTCGTGGGCATCTTGCCATGCCATTCTATGACCAATCAAGGCAGGTCGGTAGTTTGGCATCGGACTGGGCAAGGCAAGCCCCACAGCTAGATCATTGGCAACTTCCCCACGGTGAAATGATTGCCGGATCCTGGCGCATCGTCGCACATACTTTTGCCGATAGTGCGCTTGCAGCCATTCTCTCAAAGCATTGAAGGACTCGTAACCTACGTGGATTCTGCGGATGCCACCTGCTTCATCGCGTCAGCAAACGAATGCACCACCTTGTTCCGTCCACCAGCCTAGCTTCTGAAACGCGGAAGTGACTCCAGGCAAGTGGACATGCCATTGTGAAGCAAGATGCTGGAAAGGAAGGTCCTCGGCCCACACTGGAAAATGGGCCTCCACCTCCAAAAACGTTGTAGGGAAACGATGTCAATCTGATAGTTGGGTTCGAGAAACCAACCCAACAATTCATAAATCAAGAGTTTAGGGGGCTCTCCGCCAAGTTTGTCATGGAAGGCATAAATGACTTCATTCGGCACAAGAGAAATTTCCTGATCGTCAGGGACAGCTATGCCTGCAGCCCAGGAATAGCATGGGGCAACAAGGGATCGTATCAAAGCTGCTCTTGTCGGAGTCGGTGCCTGAGTCCACCGGATCGCCCTAAGCCGCAGCAGGACTTTACGCAAGCTAAACCTCAAAGGCGTGCCGCAACCACTGAACTGCAATTTGACACCCAGTAGCTCAATGCATCGCACTTAAAGCCCTGACAGTGTGCAAATGCCAAGGCCTCCTTGTCATCAGCAAAGGATGCAACAACACATTTGTCCGGGCTCAGCTCGAAACCAAAGGCCCGATCAACAGCATTTGATCGCGCGACAGCTGTGTGAAGCTCCGCAACGCTGGCATTGGGCTCAAGCCAGCAAGTACGATCATCCATGAAGGCCGTGATTCCCACAGACGGACAACCTGCACGGATGCACGCAGCCCAGGTATGGGCTATAGCAGCAGCTACACACGGCGATAGAGGACATCCCTGTGGAATGCCCACAGACAGGTTTTGTTCCACTTTTTGGACAGCATTCCATCAAATGAGAAAATTCGCAGGGCTTGTTGGTAAAAGCTGTTGAGAAGAGGAGCCAACCTAACCGGTGCCCCAAGATGCTCAAGAGTTTTGGTCACAAGTTGAGAAGAGATGGAGCCCAAGCACGCCGCCACATCAAGCAGCAAAACTCGCCGGGCGCCTCTTCTCAAGGCGGCCTGGAGCTGATAAAGCGCCCCTTCGGCAGACCTAGCCCCTATTCCTCCTTGATCCCAGGAATCAGCCCACTTTTCGGTCCATTGCCGCAAGGACTGAGCAATTACCCTGGCACCGATTCTCCAAGCAGCTTGAGTGAGCGTGATCGGCCTTGTTTTAGCCCCATCCTGCTTCCTGATGAGCACCACAGTAGCCTGGCCCACGATTCTGGCACTGACCCAGTCTCCCACACTAACTGCCATAGGCGGGCAAGACAATCCCACCATGAGATGGGAAGTTTCAACAGCGATGAGGCTTGCCAAGAGTCAGGACCCGGTGCTTTGGTGGCCATAACACTTGCAGCTGCGCAGGGCAATCCCCGTGAATTGAATGTCACATTGAACCCTGTCAATCCTAGGGACCTCAGCAAGAACAGAGTCAATAGCGTCACCCCTATCGACGGCCTCCTTGCTCCATTTGGCCATCCACTTTGCAGCATGTTCCTCGACGGCAATTGCAGGGTGTGTGGATCCAAATGTGTTGGCCTGCTCAGGTTCAAGGCGGGCTTCTTCGTACTCAAGTTATCGATTGACTCTGTCCTTGACAAATGCGCGCTGTTTTTTTGGAATCAAACCTAAGTTTAGCCCGCCACCTCTTAAGTCCAGCTTCCCTCTGCTGGTGAGCAACTTGTTGGACTTTGTCCCTGACCCAATCCAGCAAGGTACGCAACTCGGCTTGGGGAACGAAGGGCAGATCAGGAAAGTGACCACGGACAGCGCTGAGTGATTTAACAATTCTACGTGGCAGACACTCATCCTCACTGACCTGCAGCTCTTCAAGGCGATGCAAAAGCCGACGCAGCTCAGAGAGGGGACCTTCCTGCCATTTGGTTTTGGTTCCCCTGGGGAACTGATGTGGTTCCCAATGCTCTGCTCGGTGGACAGCATTGTTTGCATGTTGCTCACATAAGGAAGCTTCCGCATGAAACGACAGCCAGGCCCACGCTTCTTCGTAGTTCCCTGCTTCGCACGCCTCTTCAAAGGAGTGCTGAGATGACTAACCTGGGTGGCCCTGATGTTCCACTAAGAAAGGCCGAAGTCAATTCTTCGGGTTCCAGACGGTCCAGTGCCAGGGAGTGGCGCCCCATCAGCACAGTCGTCTAAAAGATGAATCGCCCCATTCACTCCAGCATTGCCCAACAGGCCCTCATGCTGAATCAGGTTGAAGTCTCCAACACACGCCCATCAATACCCCGAGCCCTCAGCAGCTGAGATGACATCCTCAATCTGGGCTTCGGCAGCAATGCGGTTGCCTGACTGCCCATAGAAGGCGATAATGAGAAGGCCTTCAGAGCACTGGCCACTATCCGCAGGCACGGCACTAGAAACACATGCGGTGAAGAGCCCTGCAGCATGCCTAATCTTCCCAGGCCCCGTGCACAACAGGACTTGCTTGAAAGGCTCAGAAGAAACGAGGCCAACACACGAGCGACCATCGGGCCCACACTCCGCAAGTGCAGCGTGAAACCCGTGATATCTCCATTGCCTGACATAGCCAGGGGCACTCGACTGATTGACATGAACCTCCGGAAGGGCAGCAACTTGGATGTCATGACGCCGCAGAAATGCCACAGCATCTTCAACCTTAGAAACGCCCTTCCTATTAAGGCTGATGGTGGCATGGCGCATCACTTGGAAAACGGCAAATTGAAAATCACCTCGGCTTGCTCAAAGACATCAACCTCCCTGGCACAGGTGCAGTCCTTGGGGGTCTTGAGAGCATGCTGCTTCCTTAAGGCAGCCAAAGCTTTGAGGCGCCTCGTTGCCTTTGTCCTTGCTTTATCCGTATAGCCTCTAATAGCTAGCTTCGAAACTTGTCGGTCCCTAGAATCCGGGACCCAAAGCTTCACGCCTATCAAAGTCGCTAGCAACTCTAGCGAGGCAATCACTTTATTTGGGCTCTTGGAAAAGGCCCAAGGTGCCCAATCTCTCGTGACCTCCAGAGAGAACCACGGGCCGTGGCACCCAAACACTATCTCGCGGAAACCTCCTATCCAGGCGGCCATTTTCGGCCTTCGCGTCGGTGAAAAAAAACTATGTCCTCTTTTTGAGGAGGTGGCCTACAAGGCCTCTGGAGACGGTCCCCCGTCTCTAGCCTATCAGCTAGCCAGCAAAAGAGGACTTTGATCATCGCCGGAATCTTCATCGGTCCGGCCTTCTACTGGATAGCTGACGAGCAGGCATACAAAGGGCCTAGGAAGGGCCTTTCCCAGTCCAAAGAAATAGCCGCAAAGCCGAGCCGGCCTAAGCCTTGGGCCATTTCATTGGCAGTGAATTGTAGCCAGTGAACTAGCCAGGAAGCTCGCTTGTGCGTGAGGCCTAGGAGCTGGAATACTCCGTCTCCATACCCACTTTGAAGCCCCCTCTCGTCTTGGCCCATTTGAAGGGGTAGCCCATAGCCGAGAGGTAGAGGTAGCTGAGGACAATGCCCATCCTCCCCCGGGCTGCGGTAGCCGCGTAGAGGAGGAGGTCCAGCGGTAACTTTCCTAGCACCAGTAGCTAGCACAGTTGACTCCAAAGGTGCCCACTTTGTTAACGTAGACAGTATCGCTAGCTTCATCCATCTGGCAGCCCAAGAAGCCATGTTCTTCCTCGCAATGTTTGAATCGCCTGTGGGGTTTCGATATGTCTCGCCCACCACAGAAAAGGCCACCTCTCCTCGCTCCATCATCTCTAGCAGCAGCTGTTTCTTTTCTCTAGCTCCAGGAGCACGTAGCTTGTCACGGCAGCGTATGCGGTGGTTCACTCTCACCCCATGAGTAGCATCATGGGTTAGCCTTTTCTTTCCAATCTCCTCATCCTCCACGATGACAGCCAGCGCAGCTACAGCCGAGTTCTCACCATAGCGTTGGCAGAAGGTTTCCATGGACATCTTCTCCATGAGCCCCTCCGCTATCTCCTCCTCAAACTTTTCTTGGCGAAATCGCTATGTTCTCTAGCGGAGGAGTAGTTGGGAACCCACGCTAAGCTGGGCTCCCAAGGATCGCTATCTAGCGGCCATTTCTCTTGTTCCTCAAAAATGTGAGGAGTCCTCGGCAGCGGTTCCAAAATACCTACAGGGAGCCCCTTCTCCGCTCTCAAGAGGAAATCTCCATCTGGATCATCTGCAGCTTGTAGCAAGGCCCTAATCAATCTCAATCGCAAAGGTTGCCCAGGGGCTCTCTCTAGCAACCCTTCGACCCCCAAATCTTGGGCCTCAATCCAATCGCTCCAAATCTTGAGGATAGCTTTCTGTAGTGCACTAGCTACTCCCTAAAACCCACCACCATCCCACTAGCCCCGCCACTAGTGGAGGTTAACGGTGAAGTCCTTAAGACCCTAGCGGACAGGACCGTTCCTTTTCGCACGGATGGCCGATCCCTGTATCGTTTCAGGAGATATCTCCCACACTTATCGTGGGCTATCTCCCTAGCGCAGCCGACTGGGGCTACCAGGGGTCTAGC